GGTTAAAGCCATGCCAGTGAATAATGAAATATGTATAGTTAGTCCAATTTTCTTGTTACATATCTCCCCTTGCACACATGGAGCCCCCTTTTCAAGATTAATAATATGAGCTAGAGAAATTAGGCCAAGGGTACTGAATTACAAAAAGGTGAAACTGGAGGAATGCTTGTAAGGTCATCTTTTCCATCATTCTGCCTCGAATAGAACTGACTGTTCTTCAACTGTCCCAAATGGTAAGAATTTGCCAGAGATGAAGAACAATTGAAATGCTGCTTGAGGCAGCCCTTGATGTAACCGTCCTGACTGACTGCAGCACTCAGAGATGCTGTCCACCTCCACAGTGCTGAAATATGCCTCCTTCTTCATTTTATAGATTTTGATTATATATAGCCTCTTATTCTTTATCTTTTAGATTGAAGAGCACTCTTAAAAAGAAACCTTCATTCCTTAATCATATTAGAAGCCTGTCTGTAAACATTCTCTGGTCCCTTTATATCTGTTCAAGCTGGTTGCAGTGTTTCAGGTACGAATTCATCATGATTTTATAAAAGGATAGAAATTTTTTTCTTTGATTTCTAAAATGCTTTCTGATGATAGCTAGGTTTTTCTGACCAGTGTGCCATGGTACATTAGACCAGTATCTTCAAAGAACAGCCTATGGTGACTTTTAGGTCTTCTCTTGGATTGGTAAATATATGCCCAACAGTCTCATAATGATCATTTAGAATCTTTCCCCTAAGAACTAAGTATTGAAATTCCTCTGTTATCTTTCTCCCCCTTTGTACAATCTTATGGGAGCTCATCACCTTCTATTTGCTTTTCCTGACCTGGAAGATCTTATAGCCTTGGCAATTTCATTTTTCATTTCTCTGTTCTATTACTTACAAAACTATAAAATTGCATCAGTGACAGCATAGATCCCTGAGGAATCCCACCAGCTATGAGAGAAGAAAAGGAGAAACGCAAAACTTAGATAACCTATAACCCAACAAAATAAATCACTGAAAAATTAAGATTTGTTCATGTTTCTAGATAAAGCTTGGAAGCTGGAATTTGCCTTGCCCACTCCAGGAACTAAGAGGCTTGGCTCTTTGTTAAGAAAACTATGGCCTGGCCTGGAGGTCACCATGGTGGCCATTGTGCATTCGTGTTCCATTAGCATCAGAGGAATGGTTTCAATGAAGGATATTTGAGGGGAGTCTCAGACTCTTCTAGAAAAACTATTAGGATACTGCTTCCTAAACAATGGCATCCTAAACTTCATGCAACTGGAATTTAGTAAAGAGAAATGGTAAGGCACACATACACATACAGTATTTTATAAGACAAACCCATATACACAGAAGCATAAACATTTGCATATTGAGATAATCCTGGCCAACATAGTGAAACCCTGCCTCTACTAAAAATACCAAAATTAGCTGGGCATGGTGGCGCGTGCCTGTGATCCCAGCTATTGGGAGACTGAGGTAGGAGAATCACTTGAACCCGGGAGGTGGAGGTTGCAGTGAGCCAAGATTGCGTCGTTGCCCTCCAGCTTGGGCGACAAGAGCAAAACTCCATCTCAAAAATATATATATATATATTTGCATAAAGGCAAGTAGATTTGAATTGATGTTACCAGGGTGTGAAGGAGCAAATACTGTGATTTGTTTCAGTGCAGCCAGCATTAAGCTGATTTTGGAGCTCAATTAAAATATGGATGACTGTATTAGTTTTAACATGTATTAAAACCAAATTGACAAAGAAATAAGAAAACAGGCACTCTTATATGCTACTGGTAAGATTATACATCAGTACAACTGCAGTGGAAGGCAACATGATGATATCTTTCAAAATTACAAATCCGTGTACCATTTATCCGAAGAATTTCTCTTCTAAAATATATATCCTGTAGAAAAACTTATGAATGTGCAAAGTGTCATGTGCAAAATGTGCTTGCAAAAGATTGGAAACAAACCTTAGTGTTCATTGTAAAGGGACTGGTTAAATAAATTATGGTACTTCTAAACAAGAGAATATTGCATAGCCAAAAAAGAGAATGAGGACTTTTTCTTTCTATGAATTGACATGGAATGATCTTCAAGATAATCATTAGTTGAAAAAAGTCAAGGTGTAAGAGTGTTTATAGTTGGCTACTATTTGTATGAAAGGTGGGAAGAAAGCATGTCAATAGATGAGTGTATTTGTCTGTTCTCATACTGCTAATAAAGACATACTGGATAATTTATAAAGAAAAAGAGGTTTAATGGACTCACAGTTCCACCTGGCTGGGGAGGCCTCACAATCATGGTGGAAGGCAAAGGGGGAGCAAAGATATGCTTTAGGTGGCAGCAGGCAAGAGAATGTGTGCAGGGGAACTGCCCTTTGTAAAACCATCAGATCTCGTGAGACTTATTCACTATCATGAGAACAGCACAGGAAAAACCTGCCCCTGTGATTCAGTTACCTCCCACTGGGTCCCTCCCACAACACAAGATTATGGGAGCTACAATTCAAGATAAGACTTGGGTGGGGACACAGCCAAACCATATCAATGGATTAGATTGAACCATAGGAAATTGCCATTATTAGACTGTTTTTGACCTGCAACCAATGGAAATGACAGTGGAATGACAACCATATCCATTTGGTTCCACCTAACATTTGCTTGAAGATGCATAAAATCTCTCTGAAAGTGTACACTATAAATTGACAGTATTGGTTGTCTTTGGGGGGCAGAGCTCAGTTAACTATGGGGTAAAGAGGAGATTTTGAACATTGTGAATATTAAATCATGGGGATGTACTATCTGTTTAAGAAATAAATAACTAAATTTACAAAAAAATCAATGTGGCTGAGGAAAATCATTTTCTTATCTTACTACAAAATGAAACAGAAATATCATATTTCTACACCAAAGCAACTAAACATTGTTTAGTTTTCTTTTTCCTTCCACTTTGCTAAAAGACTTTAATAATGATCTTAAGATATTGTATCCAACAAGAAAATACCAGCATCTATAGAGTTTTTGGGAAAAAGAAAAAAATTATCATCAATAATTCTGTTCACAGAGACTGTTTCTGAGTGTTTCTTCAGGAGTGACTGCAACTCCTGAAACTACTATAATGACTCAACTACATTAACAAATGGAGCAGTGAAGAAGAATGGAACTGTTAAGCCAGATAAGAATTTAAGTACATTAAAGGAAAATGAATCTTTATTCCTGCTCGATAGAATGTTAGTTGTAGTGGACATGTTGAAAACTACTTCCTCAACAACTTGGATGATAACTCAAAATCCAAGTAGAAATGTCAAAAGAGAGAAAGTTACACTTAGATTCACCTTTTAATAGGATTTGTATGTAAAGGTAATTAAATTTTATGAATTGAAATTTTCAAGATAGGGTGTATATCTTTTAGAGACCAGCACTGTACTAAACAAAGCAACTTGTTCTCAGCCAGATGCTCTAACATCAGGGGTGTTGTATCCTCACCTTATCACTGAACATAAGGAGTTTTCAATAAAAATACAACCTATGTGAAGGAATACTAAAGAATTTTAAATATTTTCTACCTCTTAAAAGAATACACAGAAGCAACCCAGAGGTTTTCTTGGGGGAGAAAAAGAACTAGAGAAAGTGACCTTTTTACATTTCAAATTTTATACAAATTAAAATTTTAATGTGCAAAATGATTTTTAAGTATTACCTGCTCAAGAATTAGCATATGCTGGTTATAAAATCAGACACACGTGATGTTCTGAAGAGGCACACTTTAAGGGCTTTCTTCGGTAAGCAAACATCAGGTAGATTTTCTTTCCTGAAATATATATAGATTTTCTTTCTTGAAATACATAGATGCCAAAAGTCTTACAGGACCCAGACTTTTACTGCAGCCCTGGGAAGTCATAGATTCACTAGGCAAACATATATTAAGTGCTACTATTGGATATAAAACATCATTACATCACAAGAACCTGAATGATCCAGAAAACACTGCATTTATTTTGTGTTACACACCATCTTATCACACTCTTTGAAAATTGTTAACCTGATTTTTAACCCAAGTGTGCTGTGACTTTCAGGTAACCAGAGTGTTAAACTTGTGAGCTCTTTCCTCAATCATCCTGTGTAAACCAGAGCTTCCCTCTCTCTACCCCAGTGGCTTGGCCCCTGTGTTGCTTTGTAGGTCTCCTGAGACAATCTCTACTCTTTTAGAACTCTATGCTTCAGCTTCACTTAATTAAAAGTGATCACTTTAAAAATAGGCCTAAGGTCAAAACGGACCCTGCTTCCCTCATGACAGCAGGATTCAAGACCACTTCTTCCTTTACTGTGGATTGAGGTGACCTGAGAAAATACAACTGCCTCTTAAAACCCCATCTGCTTGTTTTCTACTCTAAAGCTCACATAGTACTTTCGTGGCCACACTTTCTCTTCATTCTCATGGTAACCTCTTGTGGCAAATGTGCAAATATTATTTGCCTCCACTTAAGGGCAAGGAACAGAGAGGCTCAAAGAGGTCCATAGTGGTGTGACTGGGATTAGAAACCAGTCTCTGGAATTAATGCGGGAAGATAGTGGGGATGTGAGTGTGGGCCTTATGTAGCACTTTATACCCAGGTTAGAAAGAATAATTACGTTGTACTTGTCAGGGTATCCATACAAATGTCAGAGCTTGTGTAGAAATCTGTAAAGATGAAGTGAGTACAATTATGTCTAAGTGGACTTCCCTGCACAAATGTTACCAGACATTTACTTACATTTTGGATAGCAGAGGTTTCCAAATTGAGCCTGTAGAGTTTGCTCCACACCAAATACTGAACAATTCAGTTTTCTTAAAGGTGCAAAAGGATCTTTTGGCATTTAATGATAATGTTACAATATGACTAGTTTGTACCCTATGTATCTAGAGAGTGCTCCCGCTTGAAAATCCTGGACAGCTTTGTAGTTCCTTGCATCTTTGAATTGATGTGCATTGCTTTGTGTCTGAAAATTAATCAAGACCTTTTATTTGCAGTCTACTGCTTATGAAAAGCAATTTCCTGTGACCAGTAAGGACAACTATGACACATGCAGTTCAAGTTTCACATCTAACAAACTCCTTCCAGCTGAAATCAAGGGAGAAATGGAGAAAACCCCTGTGACTCCAAGCCAAGGAACAGCAACCAAGTATCCTGCTAAATCCAGGGCCCTGTCCAGAACCAAAAAGAAACTCTAAGGTTCCCTCCAGTACTGGACGGTACAAAAACAAAGCTGCTGTTGTTAGCACTTTGATGAGAGGGTAGGAGGGGAAGAGGACAGCCCTATGCTGAGCTTGTAGCCTTTTAGCTCCGCAGAGCCCCGCCATGTGTTTGTACCAGCTTAAAATTGAAGCTAGTTATCTCCAAAGCAGCATAAGCTGCACGTGGCATTAAAGGACAGCCACCAGTAGGCTTGGCTGTGGGCTGCAGGGAAAATCAACTCAAGATGTACACGAAAGTTTTTTAGGGGGGCAGATACCTGCAATTCAAGGCCGTGGGCACACTTGCTCATTTTTACTTCAAGTTCTTATGTTTAGTTCTATTTATAGGGGAAAATAAGAGGCCAAATATGGTAATGGAGATTCCAAATGATACGTGCACTTTGTACTAGAAGACTTTGTTAGAAAATTACTAATAAACTTGCCATAGGTATTACAGCAGAAGTGCTTCATTCACATGTGTTTGTGAGATTTTAGGTTGCTATAGATTGTTTAAGACAACTTATTTTAAACGTAGAAAGATAGGAGAGTTTGTAACTGCTTGCCATTAACTTGCTGCTAAATTCTCAATGTATTGATTAAATCAATAAAAAACAGATGTTACTCAGCACATTAATTTTTATGTTAACAAGAGGTGAATATAATAAGGTCCTCTAAGCCTTTATGCAAATGATAAGTTTGGTCTACTGCTGCAGTGGTAGGCACACATCTTTGGGGAAGATCATGAAGCAAGAAACAGGGGAACATACCTCATTTCTCTTCGCATTATAGACATCTCCTTTCCACCTGGGTAACTAATTTTGCCAGTTGAAGTCAAACTGGGTGAATAGCTGCTTTCCTTTGCTTCCCAAGCAAATTCTAAAGAAAGAATTTGTAATTGCTTTTACCTTCATAAAGACATAACCTAGTTCCATTCCAAACCCCCAAGGAATTGTCAGGTCTCCAAAATGGCCCACATCTGGCCAGCTGAGCACATACTAGTTGCATTCAAATCCACTTGGTAACTAAAAGTAGTACATGTGCTTCTCACAATTAGTTTAGAAGACACTATTGTGATTCTGAATGAGTCAAAGATACCACTGGCCTGTGTTGCCCCGCATGGTTCTGCCAGTATTTTCTTAGTACCTTCAGTGTGCTTCCCTTGGGGGAACCTGCTGGTCAAGGCATATCTGGTGGAAATTGTCTGTATTTTATTTTAAATTGGCATTAACATAGCTGCTTCAAGATCTCTCTCCCTTCTTGATGACTAGTTCCAGTCATATCGGAAGCCCATAAACCATATCCTGAGCTTTAAGCTTTCTCTCAGGGTTTAGTGAGCCAGTCTTTAAAGGGCATGCTCTGTCCACCTGAAGAGAATTCTGGCCCCATTAGCTAAGTGAAACCTTCCCTTCCCTAGTAGTAGCCTCAAAGGCAGATGTGTACGCTTCAGTTCTGTCACCTCTGGCGGGGAAAAGCAGGGACCTAGTGCACGGTGGCTGCTTGTCTCCTTGCAGAAAAGCCTAACCAACATGGTGGCTTTGATTCTGCCTATTCTCTGGGCCTGAAAATGAAATATCCTCTATATTCAAAATACTCTTACTTTCACAGCGATACCCTTTTGGGATTAGAAGATCCTGTTGTCAAATAGAGTACTATCCACATTTCTCTTGGCCCTAAAAATGATTGATTCTGCTCAGTAAACTTGAGCAAAGGTCCAGAATTAACCACTAACTAAAAGATGAAGTCGTTTTATAACACATTAGCGTGTCTTCACCTTTTCCCACCTCACACCAGGCAAGGCCAACCACCCAGCCTACCATATGATGCATTCTATTAACGCCCCTCCATCAAGACGTTCATTTGATTTATAGGTGTCATTTTAATAGAAATTTAGCTCACTCTTTCTAGAGAGAATTTCCACATCATTTTCATTACTTATTTCTATTTTTGTTACTTCATTGTGGAGAACACACTTGAACCAGGCCATGTCTGAGCTTTGTATTCCAAGGGATGTGCCTCTTTAAGGTCTGGGGATATATGGCCCTCCTTCCTCCATTTGCTTTCAGAACTGTGAAAAAATGGTGCTCTTCCATTTCAGATTGACTTTCAATGACTGATAGGCCAACTCAAAGGCACCAATGACAAACGCTGTGATACCTCCTGTGCTCCATAGCGTGGGGAGCTGGGTTTGGCTGTGACCCAGTGGGACATAGCCTGTCTAGGACAGCACAGAGCAGGTGTTGTTTTGAAGGAATACAAATAGTGATCCACTTTCCAACTTGAGTAACAGATAAGACAGGCAAAATATGATAAAAAAGAGAAATGCAGGCGAGCTGGGGACAAATTCATTTGAGGAAAGTAGAGGATGATATCAGAGAAGGCCTTACATCAGAGAAGGAAGGAAAATGGGGATATGTGGAGCAAAATGAAAATAAATTATAATTCATAAAGAAGACAGGATGACAACACATGGTTCTGCCAAAGCTGGAAGCCGGAGTGAGAGGAGGGAAGCACTGCTCATAGAATATTTGGTTGCTCCAGGTCAGTCTGAGGTAAAGTTAGCCCCCTCCCAGGGCCCGTACACAGGCAAACCTAGATAAAGACACAGGTTGAGGAAACAAAGACCCAGGGAAACTGAAGCTGAGATTTTAAGAGTCGGCCACAAAATTGTCCTTTCATTTTGAGTAGGAATGTTGTGTGTTGCTGCGGGGGTTGGGTGGGGGGCAGCCAAAAAAAAAAAAAAAAAAATCAAAACATTTTGTGCTTGTCGCTGAAATACTTTGTTTAAATAATTCTATTTGACTCCAAAATGTAAGTTCCAGGTTAGACAGATCAAAAGCAACCAGTCTTGAAAATGAAGCTTTTTAAATTCCAGCCCCGCTGTTGGAACAGAGAATAAAGGCTTTGTTTAAACATGCATTCCCAGCAGCAAGCAGAGCTTTGAAATTGGCCAGGGAAGTTGCGTCCTATAATGGCTGCGCTTGGCTAGAGACCAAGGAGCTGTGGCCTCTGGGAAATGGCCCTGGGCTGGATATTTTCTATCTGCCCCTCCAGAACCACTCTGCCTGCTCTGCCCTCTCTACCCAGAAAGGCTGATCTTCAGGGACTGCATTAACACACTCTCTGGGCTTCTGGATTCGTTGGGATTCTGTCAATGAAGACACCAAGGGGAAATGAGAGAAGGGGAGAGCCAGGTCCAGACGCTGACCCCCCGAGTGCCTCCCTGCTCTGGGCCGGGCTGCTGGGCATTCGCTGCCTTCTTTGGTGGGCACAGCTCCTGCCCGGCAGCCCTCTTACAAGCTGTGTCCCCTGCCCTTGCAGGCCAAGACCAGCCTATTGCCCTGGCTACTATGTCTTCCTTTGTGGGTTTTCCTAAGCCCTCTCAGTGCCTTTATGAACAGTCTCTGTTAAACCCTCAGCTTCCGCATTTGAGTTTACCATCTGTCTTCGGCTACAACCCAAGTGGTGCTGACCCTTTCCTTATCAGTGCTGCGTTGTTCCTGACCCAGGGTAGTTTTTTCTCTGGCTGCCAGTCTTCTACCAAAGTACAGTAAAGGGCAAAAAAAAAAGGATAAACGAGCTCTTCTTGACAAAAAGAGATGCACCTGGGTGGTCACTAGGGGTTAGAGGAGGGGCTGGCGGGGAGATGTTCCTGAGGAGCTAGGTAGAGCAGGACACATCGAGCGTTGCCCGACACTGAACCCGAAATCTGAAATTGTCTGCGCTCAAGGTTTGGGAGCCTAAAGAATGCAGCACTTCACTGTGACAGCCAAGAGGACCTGGGAGGAGGCCGCCCCACGCTAGCTGCCAGCTGCCAGTGAGGGACCAGGGAAGGGGCTTCCAGGGGACCCTGTGGAGCCTGGGGAGCACAGGTGACCTGAAGACAAGACGTCTCCTGGGCTTCGTGTTTGGTTCATCTCTGCAAGCCCTAACTCACTTTACAGAAGGGTTTTAAGGTAGAAGTTTTGACTATTCAAAGGCCTCATATCGCTTAGCTGTCCTCTTCAGGATCCTGCATTTTTCTGAGTGAACTGGCTGAGAACTGATTTTGATTTCTGTTCAGTATGTTGTTATCAGTTAATTCTCATTGGTGAGCCAATTTTCTTTGCTTTTGTTCTTCAAAGCATGGACGCATCTGCAGCTGTCTTGCATTTTTGCGGCCGCCTTCTTCAGTCCCTACTATAATCAGCTCAACTCTGTGCTTGCTGGGTCAGTTCTCCATATGTCCCTGAGTAATCTGGGCCCGCCCTCAGAGGAGTGGTGGGGGTTCCCACCACTGCCCCATTGGGAAGATTAATAGGACCCTTTGCAGTGTCACCAGGGCACTCTCAGAGACCTCCCCTTCCCTGTTGCCCGGTGCCATCCCAGGCACCTTAGCCAGATCCTGGACCTCCTCCTCTAAACATGCATCAGGTCCTGTCCTGGCCCAGAGAACAGAACTAGGGACGCCGTGCAGCCCCTGCCTCCGTCCAGGCTCCTGCTGGTTCCTCTCCTAACTAGATCCTCCGGCATCTTCATGGCATATCCAGGGCATTGATACGGGGCCACAGAAGTCTCTCTGCCCTTTGGGGACCAAAACCTCCCTGTAGGCAAGATCCTGAAGACAAGCTATTCTTTAGGAAAGCCTTTCGTCAGTCAACACAAAAAGTTGTCTCCATCCCCAGGAGCAATTGCAAGGCTGGAGAAGTCAGCATTCCTGTGTAACTGAAGGGTGGGGCAGGTGGGGCAGAAGATGGAGGGCAACTCATCCCCTCCCTGGACCCTGAAAGGCGCCCTTGCGGGGAGGTAGCAGCGGATATTTCCTGGTCGAAATACTGGCTTCCACTTAGTTACTAGAATCAAAGTCTTTTTTGCAAGCTGGACTTTGAGCTATAGTAGTAGATGGGATCTATTTTAACTAAAACCCCCTTTCAGAGTCATGATGTAACAGCAGCAACATTTACAGAGTGCTTACCACATGCTACCACATGCCAGACGCCATTCTAAGCACTTTACATGTATCAGTTCTTTCCATTGTTACCACAACCTGTTAAGTTGATACCATTATCTCTACAGAGAAATGAATTGAGGCACAGAGAGATTAAGAACTGTGTCCAAGGTCACACAGCTAAGAAGTAGCACAACGGGCCTGGCGCAGTGGCTCACACCTGTAATCCCAGCACTTTGGGAGGCTGAGGCGGGCAGATCACGAGGTCAGGAGATCGAGACCATCCTGGGTAACACGGTGAAATCCCGTCTCTACTAAAAATGCAAAAAATTAGCTGGGCGCTGCGGCAGGCACCTGTAGTCCCAGCTACTTGGGAGGCTGAGGCAGGAGAATAGCGTGAACCCAGGAGGTGGAGCTTGCAGTGAGCCGAGATTGCGCCACTGCACTGCAGCCTGGATGACCGAGTGAGACTCCGTCTCAAAAAAAAAAAAAAAAAAAAAGAAGTAGCAGAATGAAAACTGGAACCCGGCCAGTGGGCTCAAGTATCACTGTTGTACTATATGCCTCTCAAGGCGTTCGTATTTTTGCTCCCCTACTCTTTAGGCCTGAGCTACCATGGAGTTTGATCCCAGAGTTTCAAAAGGCCGAGCAGCTCACAGACACCTCTGTCTCCAGCAGGAGCCTAGAGTGATAATTTTGACAAGTTTGGGCTTGAGGTTTCAGAAGAGAATGGAATTATTTTTCATGTTGACAAATTTGGTGGAGACTCAAGCACTGTATCAGGGAAAGTTGCATTCTGAAGGACTTTGCGTGATAAAAGTAAGTTCTCAAGGCTTTAACTGGTCCTTTTGTCTGGAGCAGTCTTTAGAAGCCTTTGAATATGTTTTTAACCAAAGAGAGAAAAGAGGCTCTGTTCCTTCCTCAGGAATTCACAGGGACCGTCGTTTCTGTGCAGACATGACAGATCGATGCTTACCAGGAGCAAAGTGTGATTCCCATCACAGGGCAGCTGGGGGTTACAATCACTATCATGTTTCCATTTCCCACATCCCTTCATCAGGTGGTGTGAGCAGCTGTGCCGCTGAGCGGGTGGAGTTCAGATGTGGAGTCCACCTCCCCATCCTGCCTTCCTCTAGCTCTTGCCGTTGCTCACTGCTTTAGATGACTGTTAGGTGCAGTGACGTTGTGTCCCTTTCACATTGACACCGTTCTTGGTTCGGGGGCAGCCGTGTTTTCATAGGCTCAGCGGATTCTGTGGTGCAGGACGGGAGACGGCTGCTCTGGGCCTAAGCCAGCAGCTAAGGATGGTGCCATCTCTCCCTGGCTGCCCACTCCCCAGGCCACTGCCTGCCACTTGGTCCCAGGAGAAGAGAGGCAGTTCTTATTCAGGATCCTCACTGCTGTTTTGGAACTTCAGAAGAAAAGACTTCTAGCTCCCCAAAACCATGCAAATGGATACATTTTTACAAGAGTTGTTTTTCTTCCAGAAGCAGTTACCTGGTTGTAGCTTCAGTCCCTTGCCCCCATCAGCACAGAAATTAGTCATGAGACTGTAGTCATTTAGCCACTTAAGTTTCATGTCAACTTTCTGCTCACCAACTTTTTATACCAGTCCCTGACCAGGCTTCATTGTTGTGTAGCCCAGCCCGTGTGAAATCTTGGCAGAAATGTCTTACCTGCAGTGATTCTGATTGCTTGGAGGGGAACAGTCTGACCACCGCCAAAATCTTTTTCTTTTCTGTAAGATGACCAGCATCAGACCCCGTGGCACCATCATGGACAGAGTTGTACAAAAGATGTTCATTAAGAACTGGATTGAGAGACTTATTCATTCAAGAAATAGTTATTGGCCACCTACCATGTGCCAGGCACTGACAGGCACTGGATATAAAACGATGTGAAAGGCAGTCAAAGCCATTGCCCAGCATAGGGAGCTTGTAGCCATGGGGGCACAGGGATAGATGATGGCCATCTTTGTAATACAAATGCATAAAATAATTATATATTGTGATTAGAGATAAGAAGGAATTTATATAGCGAGTGCTACCATAGAGGATTACAGGATAGGAACCCTCTGGAAGCCTCTCTAAGGAAGCCAACTGTGGGAAGAGCTGGGGAGGGATGTTTTAGGCAGAGGGAACAGGGGAAGAGCTTGGTGGGTTCCAGGACTTGGCCCAAAGGCCAGGATAATCAGGGAGGGGGAGAGGCAGGGGTCAGGTCCTGCAGGATTTAGGGGGCCACAGGAAGAAACCCTTTTATTCTAAATGCACTGGAAAGCCATTGAGGGCTTGACATCTGATTCTATGTTTAAAGGATCAGTTTGTCTTCTGTGTAATGAATTATGTAAAGTGGGACAAAAGTGGAAGCAGGGAGATTGGTTAGAGGACATTGAATAAGATGGTGGCAGAGAAGATGGAGAGAAATGGGTTGATATGAAATATGTTTTGGAAATCAAATTGATAGGATTCAGTGATGGATTAGAGGTGATGGTTGAAGAAGAGTGGGGAGGGGGCCAAGGATGACTTTGGCTTCAGTAACCAGATTGATGGTGGTTTCACTTCCTGGGGAAGGCCAGGCCTGGGCTGGCAGTGGAATGAAGAGTTCTAGCGTGGTATCTAGAGGGCCTAGTGGATATTCTCTTCCTGTGCAGAGGTGAGAGATTGTAGAAAAATAAGACACAAGACTAAGAGAGAGTATGAAAGACAGCTGGGTCCAGGCCACAACTCCTACGAATGCGTGGAGTCTGGTAGTGGCCCCAAATGGCTGTGCGCACTGCTATTTATTGTAAACAAGGCAAGGGGGCAGGGTAAGGAGAGTGAGTCATCTCAGGTGATTGATAAGGTCAAGCAAGTCACGTGTTTACAGGACAAGGGGCCCATCCCTTTGTGGTGGCCGAAGCAGAGAGGGAGGACAGCATATGTCAGCGTTTTTTCTATGCACTTATCAGAGAGATCAAAGACTTTAATACTTTCACTATTTCTGTTACTGCTATCTTCTAGGAACTTACAAGGAGGACCAGGTGTACAGGAAGAATATGTAAAGTGAACAAGGAGTGTGACCACTGAAGCACAGCACCACAGGGAGACGTTTAAGCCTCCAGATGTCTGCAGGCAGGCCTGGCTGATGTCCGACCTCCCACAAGAGGCTGATGGAGCAGAGTGTTCTCTAACTCCTCCAAAGAAAGGGAGTTTCCCTTTCACGGTCTGCTAAGTAACAGGCCCCTTCCCAGGCACTGGCGTTCCCACAAGACCAAGGTGCCCTCAAGTGGCCCTTATCCGGGCATGACAGAGGCTCACACTCTTGTCTTCTGGTCACTTCTCACAATGTTCCTTCAGCTCCTGACTGTGCACTGGCTGGTTATTCCTCAGTTATAATAGTAAAACAGAGATTAATACTAAAAACTAATGATTATTTTCCATATGTGATCATCTCTATATCCTATTTCTAGTATAACTTTTCTTACTACAACTACTTTCTTTATTATATTGGAACAGCTTGTGCCTTCACTCTCTTGCCTCAGCACCTGGGTAACTTTCCGCCCACATCTAGCTGGTCATATGAAATTTGATCTCAAACTTCATCTCTATCAGATCTCAAAGTGGAGATGACTGACTACTTGAGATGGATTTAAAGGTTGGAGCAGATCAAGGTGGATGGAGAGAAAAGAGCCCAAAGGCAGAGAAGGATGTGAAGAGAGACCCAGAGTTAATAACGAAATCGTGTGCAGAGGCTTCTGGGTGCCTGACAGGGCTCACAGAATCCAGGGAGACCTGGTATCAAGGCATTATCTTGGTCCACACAGCAAGTGTGTCTCCCTCACTCAAGGACTAGGCAGCAACTGTACTTTGGCAAGGAGAAGGATGAGAATGGAGTGGAATGACATGAAATGCCATTCAGAGAAATATCCCTGGGAGATGTGGCCGAACCTCCTTATTGCTTGATTAATTGAATCTGAATAGTGATAGGTAATAAGCCCTCAATAGCTGAATCATAATTCCATAGCCTTCCATTAGCAATAAATCAGAAAATGGTGGGCCAGGTACTTTTCTGAAACCCACATTTGCAGAATCCTGGACTGTCTGAACTGTTCCTTCAGCCCAAGTCTTCCTCAGTGCAGAAGCTGCACTCACAGCCTCCTCCAGCGAGCTCCCACCTCTGATGACATGTTCCTGGGATTGAGGACTCCCTACCTCCCAGGGCAGATGAATTCCACTCTGGAAACACCTAAGTGCGAGAAAATTCTTCCCATCACCTGACACGTCCTGCTCACTGGCCCTTCTGGAACTCTTTAAAGGCCTCTCCAGCTGCCACATCCCAGCCCCTTGGGTTTGAAGGTGATTCCCACAACCCTATGTGCCCTCTCCAGGCTAAACATCCCCGTGTCTCTTGGACTTCTCCTCAGTGACATGTTTCTAGGCCCTTCATTCTAGTTCATCTGGGGCTTTTTCCAAAATTGAACTCAAGTCTCCAAGTGTGGCCTGTCACCCCCAGTCCTTGGAACACTGTGCGTCTGTCACTGCAGCCCATTGTGTTCCTGTTAACAGGGATTCGTGGACAATCTAGTTTGAGTTTACCAGGACAGGCTTGAATGACAATGTGTCCCTGAAGCATGGTTATTTTCCTATCCATGTCCTTGTGGTGGACTCTTAGTGACCGCTAAAGAGCCTTTTTGCAGTGTGTTGCCTGCGGGGAGCAACAGAGAGTATGTTGAGTCAATGCTCTGAGGTTGGGTCTGAGTCACAGAGCCCTGAGATTATCCAGGAAGACACACTCATTTTCCTTAAGTATCGGTCTTGCTAATTATCCACTGAGATATTTGCAGAGGGAAGAAGGCACAAACCGAATTACAGGCCTATTTGCCAGAGGATGCATTAGTGGCTTAGCTCCTGCTGGAGTGGTGGTGGGAAACATGAGAGTATTGGCAACTTCAGATAGGACCTGTCCCGGACCCTCCAAACAGGCTGAGCACAGGTGTGGTCTGTGTCTGTGTAAGCTGCACATCCCCATGCCTCCCGCCCACACGCACTGGGTGCACATTAACTTCTGTGCCTAAATGGAATGGCTCTGAGCCCTCTCTCCCCATGCTACTATCAGGAATCTGAGTCTTTTGTAGGGAAGACTCTGAGCGCCCTCCCCTGAACATCTCTGAGAATTCCCAGGAGTGTTCACACATGTCCTTTTCCACTTGCAGCTCGTTACCTGAGACAGAGGCTCAGATGTGTCACTCTTTATGTCCTCTCACTTTCATTTCCAGGGCTTCTGCCTACCATCAGCGACTATGTAGCCTCTGGCCAGCCAGGGGTTGTGGCAGCAGCTGCCCAGCAAGATGCCATATGTCCAGTGTGATGAGCGCCAGGCCCAAATCCCAAGTGTCACCCCGATGTAGCGTGCATGACACAGCAACCAGGCCCTGGAGTCCTCCCATGTTCCTTGCTGCAGGGTGTCCCTTCATGTGGAGTGGCCTCATGGAGTGGAGTGGACGTGGGTGGTAAGGATGCGCTGGTACATAAGCCATAGGATGTGGGGGTGGGGGCGAGGTGGGAGTTGGGAAAAGGTGTCGTGTGGGAGAGGCACAGTGCATACTGTGGTTACAGAGGGATATGGGTGGGAAGGAGGTCCCAACAGAGATTGCTCTGGCCCTTCCCTTCTGGGTCTCAGAAGCTCCCCAGGTAATCCTGACATGCAACGTGTCTGCTTCCTGTCTGGGCCCCATACTAAAGGGATTTGTGGGCTATTTCCAAATTGCAAGGAACATAATGCAAAAAGCATATCTGCCTATGGTAAAATGGCTCAGACCACACTCACCTAAAGTTTTTGGGTAATGAAATATTTCAAAACACAGAGCTCATAAAAGAGATAATGACAGGTATCCTTGGAGGTGCAAAGGGTGAGAGGTAGTCCAGCCCCTCACTGTACAGCAAGGCCCAGGGACAGGGTTTCCAGCTGCTCGGTGCTCACTAGACCAGAAGCCAGGCAGGGTGTCGGCTACAAGTGGGGTGCTGGGTGCTTGGTGATCTCTCATGTTTCTACATTCAGGATGTTCCCTGTGGGATAAACCTTCTCCCTGTGGGATCCTTATATGGGGATCGGGGCAGGCACAGACTCCTGTGTCTTCGTCACTCACAGCCCCAGCAGCTGCCCCTATTTCATTCTCCCTGGATCAACAGCAGGAGCCCTAACCCTTAGCCACAATGGAGTGGGGAAGGGGCAGCCAGGAGACTCTCGGCTGACAGATTACTTGGAATACCCCTATCAATTATGTAGCAGTCCCCACCACTGCCTTTGCAAGTTAGATTTAAAATGAGGTGTATTTTCTTAATTTTTTTTATTTTAATAGCTTGAGGGGTACAAGTGGTTTTTTGGTTACACAGATGAATTGTACAGTAATGAAATCTGAGATTTTAGTGCACCCTTCACCTGAGTAGTGTACGTTTTACCCAATATGTAGGTTTTTTATCCTTCGCCACCCAACACTCTTCCTTCTGAGTCTCCACAGTCCATTATACCACTCTATATGCCTTTGCATACCCATAGCTTAGCTCCCACCTATAAGTGAGAACATAGGGTATTTGATTTTCCATTCCTGAGTTACTTTACTTGGAATAGTGGCCTCCAGCTCCATCCAAATTGCTGCAAAAGACATTATTTCATTCTTTTTTTATGGCTGAGTAGTCCATGGTGTATATATACTACATTTTAAAAATCCACTCATTGGTTGATGGGCACTTAGGTTGGTTCCGTATCTTTGTAATTGTAAATTGTCCTTCTATAAACATACGTGTGCAGGTGTCTTTTTGATATAATGATTGATTTTCCTTTGGGTAGATACCCAGTATTGAATTGAATGGTAGATCTACTTTTAGTTCTTTGTGAAATCTCCATACTGTTTTCCATAGGGGCTGTACTACTTTACATTCCAACCAGCAGTGTATAAGTGTTCCCTTTTCACCACATGCCCACCAACATGTATTATTTTTTGACTTTTTCATAATGGCCATTCTTTTTTTTGAGACGAGTTTTGCTCTTGTCACCCAGGCTGGAGTGCAATTGCGTGATCTCGGCTCACTGCAACCTCCCGCTCCAGGTTTCAAGTGATTCTCCTGCCTCAGTCTCCTGAGTAACTGGGATTACAGGCACCCACCACCATGCCCAGCTATTTTTTTTTTTTTTTGTATTTTTAGTAGAGAGGAGGTTTCACCATGTAGGCCAGGCTAGTCTTGAAGTCCTGACCTCAAGCGATCCACCCATCTCAGCCTCCCAAAGTGCTGGAACTACAGGCGTGAGACACTGCGCCCTGCCAATAGTAGCCATTCTTAAGGCTCATATACTGTTGGTGGGAGTATAAATTAGTTCAACCATTGTGGAAAACAGTGTGGTGATTCCTCAAAGACCCAGAAACACAAATATCATTCAACCCAGCAATCCCATTACTGGATATATACCCAAAGGAATGTAAATTGTTTTATCATAAAAACACATGCACGTGTATATTCACTGCAGGATTATTCACAATAGCAAAGACATGGAATCAACCCAAATGCCCATCATTGGTAGACTGGATAAAGAAAATGTGGTACCATGGAATACTATGGAGCCACAAAAATAAATGAGGTCATGTCCTTTGCAGGAATATGGATGAAGCTGGAGGCCATTATCCTTGGCAAACTAACACAGGAACAGAAAACCAAATACCACATGTTCTCACTTATAAGTGGGAGCTAAATGATGAGGACTCATGGGTAGCACAAAGAGGGGAACAACAGACACTGGGGTCTATCAGAGGGTGAAAAATGGCCATTCTTACAGGAGTAATGTGGTACCTCATTGTGGTTCTATTTGCATTTCCCTGATGATTAGTGATGTTGAGCATTTTTTCATATGTTTGTTGGCCATTTGTATATCTTCCTGTGAGAAATGTCTATTCATGTCTTTTCTCACTTTTTGTAAGATTTTTTTCCTTGCTAATCTGTTTGAGTCCTTTGTAGATTCTAGATATTAGTCTTCGTCTGCTGCATAGTTTGCTAACATTTTCTCCCCTTCTATGGGTTGTCTGTTTACTCTGATGATTATTTCTTCTGCTGTGCAGAAGCCTTTTAGTTTCATTAGGTCCCATTTATTTATTTTTGTTTTTGTTGCATTTACTTTTGGGTTCTTAGTTATGAATTATTTGCCTAGGCCAATGTGCAGGATAGTTTTTCCTAGGTTATCTTCTTGAGTTTTTATGGTTTCAGGTCCTAGATTCAGGTCTTTTGATCCATCTTGAGTTGATTTTTTTATAAGGTGAGAGATAGGGATTCAGTTTCATAGTTCTACATATGGCTAACCAGTTTTCCCAGCACAATTTATTAGATGGGGTCTCCTTTCCCCAATTTATGTTTTTGTGTGTTTTGTTGAAGACCAGTTGGTTTTAAGTATTTGGCTTTATTTCTGTGTTCTCTTTTCTGTTCCATTGGTCTATGTGTCTACTTTTATACTGGTACTGTGCTGTTTTGGTAACCATAGCCTTGTAGTATAATTTGAAGTCTGGTAATATGATGCCTCCAGATTTTTCATTTTGCTTGGGATTGCTTTGGGTATTTGGGCCTTTTTTTGGTTCCATGTAAATTTTAGGATTTTTTTTTTTCTAATTCTGTGAAAAATGATGTTGGTGTTAAGATAGGAATTTGCACTGAATCTGTAGCTTACTTTCACCAGTGATATAGTTTGGCTGTGTCCCTACCCAAATCTCATCTTGAATTATAGTTCACATAATCCCCACATGTCATGGGAAAGTAATTGAATCATGAGGGCATTTATTCTCATGCTGTTCTTGCGATGGTGAGTGAGTTCTTATGAGATCTGATGGTTGTTTTTGTTTGTTTGTTTGTTTATTGAGACGGAGTTTCACTCTTGTTGCCCAGGCTGGAGTGCAATGGTGCGATCTTGGCTCACTGCAACTTCCGCTTCCCAGGTTCAAGCAATTCTCCTACCTCAGCCTGCCAAGTAAATGGGACTACAGGCATGTGCTACCATGCCTGGCTAATTTTGTATTTGTATTAGAGACGGGGTTTGTCCTTGTTGGTCAGGCTGGTCTCAAACTCCTGACCTCAGGTGATCTGCCCACCTCTGCCTCCCGAAGTCCTGGGATTACAGGCTTCAAGAGATCTGATGGTTTTATAAAGGGCTTTTCCCCCACTTCACTCTGCACTTCTCCCTGCTGCTGCCATGTGAAGAAGGATGCATTTGCTTCTCCTTTCACCATGATTGTAAGTTTCCTGAGGCCTCCCCAGCCCTGCAGAGCTGTGAGTCAATTAAACCTCTTTCCTGTATAAATTACCCAGTCTTGAATATTTCTTCATAGCGACCTGAGAATGGACTAATACAGGCAGTATGGTCATTTTCATGATATGATCATTTTCATGAGCTTGGGATGTGTTTCTAGTTGTTTGTGTCATCTGTGGTTTCTGTCAGCAGTTTTTGTAGTTCTCTTTGTAGGGATCTTTTACATCCTTGGTTAAGTATATTCCTAGGTATTTTATTTTTTGAGCTGTTGTGAAAGGGATTAAGTTCTTGATTTGATTCTCAACTTGGTCATTGTTAGTATAAAGCAGTGCTACTGATTTGTGTACATTGATTTTGTAACCTGAGACTTTACTGAATTTATTTATTAAATCTTGGAATCTTTTGGAGGAGTCTTTAGGGTTTTCTAGGTATATGATCATATAATTGGTGAACAGCTGTAATTTGACCTCCTCTTTTCCAATTTGCCCTTTCTTTCTCTTGCCTGATTGCTCTAGCTAGGACTTCCAGTACTATATTGAATAGAAGTGGTGACAGTGGGTATCTTTGTCTTGTACCAGTTCTCAGAGGGAATGTTTCAACTTTTCCCCATTCAGTATGATGTTGGCCGTGGGTCTGTCATACATGGCTTTTATTATTTTGGGGTAAGTCCCTTCTATGGCTAGTTTGTTGAGGGTTTATATCATAAAGGATGCTGTATTTTATTGAATGCTTTTTCTGCATCTATTGAAATGATTGTATGATTTTTATTTTTAATTATGTTTATATGATATATCCCATTTTGAAGTGTGTTTTAATTGGCCAGTTTTTAGGGGGGATTTATTTTAGACAAAGGTGAAGATTAAGGGGTCTGCAATGGCCCTGCCTAGGCAACGGATCCAGCAGCATCAATCCCACAACTATAGGGGTATCTACAGGTCATTCTCGATTAATGAGGACATCATCTCTAGCTTCTAGTTTTTGCTTTGGCTGTGACTTGGTCAAAGGAAAATGGAGGATTGTACAAGGTGCAAAGGGGCACAGTCGAGTTAGTGGTTTTGATAAATGGACCAACATGGGCAGGATATAGGACACTGGGGAGGAGAGAAGTGATACTAGGAAAACAGCTTCAGATTATGCTTCTGAAGCTGGGAGGTTAGGGAAGCCTCTACAGTGGAGCCTGTCCTGCTCAGTCAGGCTGTTGAGGACTTCAGGTTTCAGACTATACTAGGGATGGCTGGAGCCAAAGTGTGGCAGCTGGAAGATGTGATCTCACTTAAAAGAAATGCAGAATTGGCCAGGCGCAGTGGCTTATGCCTGTAATTCCAACACTTTGGGAGGCCAAGGCAGGCAAATCACGAGATCAGGAGATCGAGACCATCCTGGCCAACATGGTGAAACCCCGTCTCTACTAAAAATACAAAAAAACTAGCTGGGCATGGTGGCAGGTGCCTGTAGTCCCAGCTACTCAGGAGGCTGAGGCAGGGGAATCACTTGAACCTAAGATGCAGACGTTGCAATAAGCCGAGATCGTGCCATTGCACTCCAGCCTGGTGAGAGTGAGACTCCATCTAACAAAAAAGAAAAAGTAAAAGAAGAAAGAATAAAAGCCTGCCAGGACAAGGCTTTATTGCAAATGCTTCTCTACTTGTAGAGATCAGACTTGATGAAGAAAGTGCACAGACGAGAAGTGGGGAAGCAGAGCTCAGAGAACCAAATTCTGTCTTAAGCCATCTGCCTTCTCCTGGCTTTGGCTAACGGTATTAAATACCCTCCACCCAGCCCCACCCAACATGCACATGTGAACACACGTGTGTGCAGCTTCTGTCCCTCACAGCTGCAGGGGACAGATTTGAGCTTGCCCCCATGATATGCTTAGACACACATAAAGTCATAGTCACTTCTGCCCCCTCCTGCCTGGGACCCAGGTTCCCAAGGATCAACCAAGATCCCTGTTTCCCAGAGCCTTGCCCTGGTGGCTATCACTCAGTGATGCTTGGGCTGGCTGGAATCACAGCTCTGACCCTGCTCATTCCCCTGGATCCTCTTTGGAATATTCCCTGGGTGGCTGGCTCTGGAAGGAAGCAAAGGAATGCATTTGCCCTGTTGTAAGTCTGGAAATCTAAGTAGCCTGAGTGCCTGGGGGTTAGGCTGTATTCTCTAAGCTGAGTTTCCCAACTCTCCTGGCTAGGACCCCTTGTATTAGTCCATTTTCATACGACTATAAAGAACTGCCTGAGACTCTTCCAGTTTGCGCTTTCCTTTATGAAAGAAAGAGGCTTAATTGACACACAGTTCCACATGGCTGGGGAGGCTTCAGGAAACTTACAATCATGGCGGAAGGCGAAGGGGAAACAAGGCACTTTCTTTACAAGGTGGCAGGAAGGAGAAATGCGAAGTGAAGGGGGAAGAGCCCTCTATAAAACCATCAGATCTCATGAGCACTCACTACCATGAAAATAGCATGAGGGAAACCACCCCCATGGCTCACTGATCTGCCTCCACTTTCTAGGGAAAAAGAATTTGCAAATAAGGAAGTTGCAGACAACTCACTGCTAGCACCGTGTGTGAACTGCCTACATTCTATTAAGGAATATAAGCTAAACACATCCTAAAGCAATTCTCTGTGAACTTGAAAATCATTGAGTAGTTCTGTTATTTTTAACTTTACCATATATGGTCAGTTACTTAAATAACACAAGTTCCAGGAGTCCATCACCAATAATAAGTTTCTTTCTGTCAAGCAATGGGGGGGAGGAAGTGGTGAGTAATTCCTGCCTCTGAGGTAGCCATGGGATAGCAGTGTTTCCCATTTGAACCCATATGGATGCCTGCCTTAAATGCTAGTTGTTAGAAAAATGTACATTGGAAACCCTATTGCAAGTAAATGTCACTGCAAGTTGTAGGGTTAACCAGCAAGCAACTAAATTGATAATGATGAAGCTAAATTAATAGTAGTCTGTAGTTAAAAGGCAAGAGTAACAGTAATTAAAACCACAGTCCCTCAGGATGGCATCTCTTCAAACCTTGCAAGTATGCATTTCTATGGGAACATTAGTGCTGCCAGACTCTTTAGGAGGGCTTGGCATCAGAATCTTCTGGAAACACATTAATAAATTTAGTCTGTGATGCAAGATGAAGGAAATGCTATCTGTTAAAATTCCTCATAGGAAGGGAACCATACTTCCCTGCCAAATATCCCTTGGTGGGTCCTTGGGCTAGGAGATGAGGCAGCCGCCAGACCAGAATCTGGAGAGAGCTTTGAGGGAGAGGTGGGCTGGCGGAAGGGTGGGTTGGGAAATACGTATCCACTGCTCTGGGCGAAACAGGGAGAAAGGAACAGCGAGGTAGTTGAAACCCTCTGTCTGCATCGTGACCTCTCTGCATGAACATCACTGTTACAGGTTAAATGTTTGTGTTCCCTCCTCCAAATTATTGTGTTAAAGCTCCAACCCTACCCCAGTCACAGTGTGACTGTGTCTGGAGGTAGGGATTTTATAGAGGTAATTATAGTTAAATGTGGTCACAAGGTTGGGGCCCTGAGCCAATAGTATTAGTGTCCTTATAAAAAGAGACAATGGAGACCCCAAGTATGATCTATCTTTCTCTCTCTCTGTCTCTCTCTCTCTTTCTCTGCTAGTGAGAAGGTGGCCATCTGCAAGGCAGGAAGAGAGCCCTCACTAGAAACTGAACCTACAAGGACCTTGATCTTGGACTTTCCAGCCTCCAGAACTGTAAGAAAATAAATTTCTCTCATTTGAGCCACATGGCTTGTGGTATTTTATTATGGAAGCTTGAGCAGATGAAAATAACCTCCTACCTCTACCAACCCCCCCCAACCTCCCAGCTCACAGAGTACAAGGGGGTTGGGGGTGGGAGCTAAGGAGGTGCCTGAGCTCTGTGCTCTAATTGGCCCTTGGGTGAGCTCCCATGGACCCTGGGGCAGGTGAGAGGTGGTGGGAGCCCAGAGGCACAGAGAGAAGCATCAGAAAGTCAGCCCTGGCAACTTGGAGACATCAGCCAGAGCTCTGGACTTCCACAGCCTGTGTAACTGGATTTGAAGGCAGCAAGGGCCTCAGCTGAGAGCTGGGAAGGCATATATAATCACTGCATTAATAACTTTGGTGCTTACATAATTGGGTATCAGTAAGGAGGCCTGAGATGAAGGAAGACAGGGAAGACCAGGAATTGCATGTTGTTGTGGCTAAGACCCCAGGAAGGCACCTGAACACTTGGACTGCTGGTGAGAGGCAGGAGGAACCTCTGGGCTCCCTGCGGCTGCAGCTACAGTCCCCTTTGAGAACCACTAGTCAAAGGCGTGGGTTCCAGGGAGGCCCCCAGGAGGCTACCCACTTGTGTTTTTCCAGCTCACTCTCAGCTGTGTTCTTCCAGGAACTTCAGACCCCACAACCTGCAGCCTGGGCCTCAGTCACTGGGATGATCCCCCTGTGAAGAGGGTCTGCTTATAGCTGCCACCGTCACGGTAGCAGTGGAGCCAGTGTCACCTGGTGATGCCACTGAGGACTAGTAGAGCCATCTGGGCCTGAGACCACCCTGAGCCCCTGTGTGGAGGGCCCTCCTGTCCATTTTCTACTTTTCTGCTGTCATATTCTTCCCAGCCATGCCTGGGCCCAGCCTGGTCCTCATACTAGCACCCCCACCCTCTTCCTCTCAGCTCCTGGGCAACCTGCTATGTCCTGCCCTTGCCTTTAACCCAGGGCTCCTAGTAGGGGTAGAGGTTGACATGTCCTGTCAAAATCATCTGGGCAGCATTCTCTCTGCATGTGGGCTCCACACCCCCAGCAGTGTGACTTTGTAGCCCCCTCATCAAGAGCTGGAGTCTATTCCCCAACCCCTTGAGTCTGGGCTGGCCTTGCGACTTGCTTTGGCCCATGAAATGCTATGGCCTGGAAACACGCAGGTTCTGAGCTTAAGCCTTCAGAGGCCTCGTGTCCTTCTGCTCTCTGTCTTGCTCCCCAACCTTTGCTGTGAGAACAAGCCCAGATCAGCCTCCTGGAAGATGAGAGACCATCTAGCACAGAGCCCAGTCGTCCCAGCCAAGGCCCAGACATGGGAGATGGCCCACCCGAGGTCAGCAGCTCCCCAGATTTGGGTCTGCCCAAAGGGAACAGTGGACTCTGCAACTGCCCAAAGCACTAAATGCACAAACCCTCCCTGCGGCATGGGGTCTTTTCCCAAGCTGACCTTTAGGGTCTTGATGAGCCCTGCGTGGCTACCTTCATGACAGCCCTCACCTTCCAAGCAGGGCTTCTCAGAGAGGCCGGTCAGTGGGAGGGTCCCAGAGCTCCCAGAAGAGGCCGCCATGCCCTCAGCCTTACAAGCCAGAGCAAGACATGAACTCAATCTGCAGAAAGACATGCTCTTGGCCCTTGGATGCTGTCTTAAGGGCTGTGGTGGGCAACCCCACAGATTGAGGCACTCAGGGAGGCAGTATGCCTGTCCCAGTCAGCCTTGGGAAGAAGATTTGGCTGTGAACACAGGACTGGCTGCCCTTCAGCAGCCTACATGGTGGGATGCATGAAGAGCAGGCCTCACATCCAAAGTCTAAGCGCCAAAGGTTCAGTGTCCCCACATTTCTCTCATAAGTGTCTGCCTTTCCACTAGTTTCTAACTGGGAAGCTGAGGTTGTGAGAGTTTTCCTGAAAGACTGGGGTGTCTGGTGTTCATGTTAGACCCCAGGTGGGGTGAGGCTTTCAAGTATGAGGAGTTTCCCTATCTCCTCTCCCACCCACCCCTTCTCCAGGCCTGAGCCAGCCAGGTAGAAACGTGGGATCTTGGTCTAAGGACCCCGTGGGTTGCTCGAAGACCCTGCTTTGCAGAGCGAGACCTTACAAGGCCTTACAAGGACCCGATTGGCATTCACAGAACTTGGCCTGAGCCTTGCAGCAACATCAAGCTCATGGCTTATAGAGCAGTCTGCTCTGGAATAGTGTGATTCCAGCTACTAGAAAAGACTTCTTGGCCGGGCATGGTGGCGCACACCTGTAATCCCAGCACTTTGGGAGGCTGAGGTGGGAGGATCTCTTGACTCTAGGAGTTAGGATCAGCCTGAGCAACAAAGTGAGCCCCATCTCTACAAAAAATCAAAATATTAGCTTAGTGTGGGTCACACACCAGTAGTTCCAGCATCTTGGCAGGCTGAGGTAGGAGGATTGCTTGAGCCCGAGAGGTCGAGGCTACAATGAGCTATGATTGCACCACTGCACTCCAGCCTGGGCAAGAGAGTGAGACCCAGTCTCAAAAAAAAAAAAAAAAAAAAAAAAAAAAAGGAAAAAGAAAGAGAAGGAGGGAGGCAGGGAAAGAGGGAGGGAGGGAAAGAAGAAGGAAAGGAGGGAGGGAAGAACGAAGGGAGGGAGAGAGGGAGGGAGGAAGGAAGGAAGAGAGGGAAATAAATGGAAGGAAGAAAGGGGAAAGAAAAAGAAGAAAGAGGAAGAGAGAGAAGGAAGGAGGGAGGGAAGGAAGGAAGGGAAGGAAGGAAGGGAAAAGAAAGGAAAGAAGGAAAGAGAGAAAGAGAAAGAAAAAGAACGAAAGAGAAAGAAAGAGAGGAAAGGAAGGAAGGAAAAGAAAAGGAAAGGAAAGAAGAAAAGGAAAGAAAAAGGAAAGAAGGAAGGAAGGAAGGACGAAAGGAAGGAAGGACAGAAGGAAGGAAGGATGGAAGGAAGGAAGGAAGGAAGGACGGACAGAAAGAGAAAGTCCTCTTGCTCATCTGAACCTTTCCTCCCATGCTTTCTCCCTGTATCGGTTTCCTGAGGCTCTGTAACAAATTACCACAAAAATGGCTTAAAACAACAGAAATGCATTTCCTAAATGCCTTTTCTAAACTTCATATACATGAAAAAGAATGTATTATGTACTCTTGTATCTGAGTTCTTCTGCTTAACAGTTTTAACTGAATTTTTATTCAGATATTTGTATATTCTCATGCTATTGAAACGTAGGTTTTTGAGATTCATCCATGTAATAGTAACTCATTTCTTTTGGCCAGAAGTCCAAATCAAGGTATTTGCAGAGCCATGCTTTCTCTGAAGCTTCTTGGGCAGAATCCGTCCTTGCCTTGCCAAGCTCCTGGTGGTTCCTGGCATTCCTTGGCTCATGGCAGCATCCCTCCAGTCTCTGCCTCCTTCTTCACACAGCCTTCCTTGCTGTCTCTCTGGGTGGCCCCTCCTCTCCTCTTCCTCTAAGGACACCAATCACTGGATTTGGGGCACACCCTAAATCTAGGATGATTTCATCTTGCAATTCTTAACTAGTTATGTCTTGCAAAGAGCGTTTTTACCAAATAAGGTCATTTTCTGAGGCTCCAAATGGACATGAATTTGGGGGAGGGCACTCTTTAGCCCACTACACTCTTTCATGGTTTCTCCTCTGCCCCAGGCCCCCACTGAGCACTTGTGCTTCCTCAGCCCCCAACAGCCCTCCAGGATCAGACATTGGCCATGCTCCCCAGCTTTGTTCCAGGGCAAACAGCCCCGCTCCTTCCACGGCTCTCTCCAGCCCTAGTCTCACTTCATGATCTTCAAACTCATCACTATCCTATTCATCCCCCTCTGGACCACCAGTTTGTCAAAGTCCCTCTTAAAACATGGCTCTTGACATGGAGCCCAGAAACCAAACTCCCAGCCACTTCTCGTGTTGGGCGCAGTCCTCCTGACAAGAGAGCCTAGACTGGCACTGACTTGGGTGACTGAGGGCATGACACTCTTGCCCGGGGCCTCTCCAGCCCCCTGTTTCTCACAGGAGCTACCTTGTCTCCTCCAGCTGCAACTTCAGCAGTTGACTTTTTGACCCTAAATTCAGAATGTTGCATTTGCCCCACTGAGGTCCCCTGTTGGAGGTCTGAGCCCCATACTTGTAGCCTCAGGAATGGAGTGTTTTTGGGCCCAGTGCTGCCCTCTGCTTCTCCCTTACAGCCCTAAGCAGAGAAAGCACCAGGGAGTTGGAGAAAGTCTCAGCTTTTGGGCCTGCGAGGGTGGATCATACTTGTAATCTCAGCATTTTGGGAGGCCAAGCCAAGATGATCACTTGAGGCCAGGAGTTTGAGACCAGCCTGGTCTACACAGTGAGACCCCCATATCTACAAAAAATTAAGAAATGAGCTGGGCATAGTGGCATGCTCCTGTAGTCCCAGGTATTTAGGAGGCTGAGGTGGGAGGATTGCTTGAGCTCAGGAGTTGGAGGCTGCAGTGAGCTATGATCATGCCAGCCTCGGTGGCAGAGTGAGACACCATTTCTTTAAAAAAAAAAAAAAAAAAAAAAAAAAAAGCCTCATCTTTTGAGGCCTGGGTTTGAATCAGCCTTTTTTTCCTGTTGCCCCTTAGCTCTACCTCAATCCTCCCAAAGCGGCTCCAAGCCAGCCCTGGCCCTTGGGAGGGTGGGTGGCCCTTCAGACGGGGTCTCTTCCTGCCTTCATTGGTGTAGCTGGAGCACCAGAACGGGGCTGTTCTTAACGCAGAAGGGCCTGAGACAGAAACTCAGAGCAGACAACAGCCTCTCCCCCATGCAGGGCTCTGAATTCTCACTCAGAAACTTCCACTGACTGAGCCTTTGGTGTGCAGGTTGGCCGCAGTGTTCCTCAGGCTGGCCCCTTAGGATAAAGCCCCTGCATCTCAAGCCTCAAAGACTAGCCCTCAGCTCCAACCCTTAGCTGTGCAGAGGGCATCC